CTGGATGTTGTTGTTAGGTATGGAGTTGTTGTTAAGTACTGAGTGTTGTTGTTAGGTACCATGTTGTTGTTGTTGTTAGGTACCATGTTGTTGTTAGGTGCTAAGTTGTTGTTGTTAGGTACCCTGTTGTTGTTGTTGTTGTTAGGTACCCTGTTGTTGTTGTTGTTGTTAGGTACCATGTTGTTGTTGTTGTTAGGTGCTGAGTTGTTGTTAGGTACCATGTTGTTAGGTACCATGATGTTGTTGTTGTTAAGGGCTAAGTTGTTATTGTTAGGTACCATGTTGTTGTTAGGTACCATGTTGTTATTGTTAGGTACCATGTTGTTGTTGTTAGGTACCGTTGTTGTTGTTGTTGTTGTTAGGTACCATGTTGTTGTTGTTAGGTGTTGAGTTGTTGTTAGGTACCATGTTGTTGTTGGTAAGTGCTGAGTTGTTGGTAGGTGCTGAGTTGTTGGTAGGTACTGAATGTTGGGGTTAGGTACTGAGTGTTACTATTTTTAGGTGCTGAGGGTTGTTGTTAGGTATGGAGTTGCTGTTAGGTACCAAGTTGTGGTTGTTGTGAGCTACCGAGTTGTTGTTTTTGTGTGTTGTTACCAAGTTGTTGTCGTGAGGTACCAAGTTGTTGTTGTGTGTTGTGTACCAAGTTGTTGTTGTGAGCTACTGAGTTGTTGTTGTAAGTAGAGTGTTGTTGTGTATTGTGTACTGAGTTGGTGTTAGCTACTGAGTGTTGTTGCGAGCTACCGAGTTGTTAGCAGAGTGTTGTTGTGTGTTGTGTACTGAGTTGTTGTGTGTTGTGTACCAAGTTGTTGCTATTGTTGTTGTTAGCTGCTGAGTGTTGTTGTTGTGAGCTACCGAGTCCATTTTGAGTCATCGTAACCTGTGCGTCAGAGCAGCACTGCCCCCTCAGGTTTTCTAGGCCAGGATCTTTGTGGGAACAGATCTCCGGTCTTCCCCCCCAGAGCTGCTGGCTGGTCTTGAACCACAAACCCTTAGGTCAGCATCAGAGTGCCTAACTATCGTGTCCCCAAGGTCCCTGAGACTTGACTTAGAAGGACCTCATCATCCCTCAGTTCACTGCCCTGCTGGGTGCTTAGCCCCTCCGCCCTCGTTTCCACATCTCTCTGCC